TGGCTTTGTCGGAAAAAAGCGCCAGTCTAGACGCTGATTGTGCGGAAAATAAAGCATCTTTCAGAAAAGGCTTTATTTTCCGCACGATCAGCGTCTAGACTGGCGCTTTTTTCCGACAAAGCTCCGTGCCAAAAAAAGCGGCAGCCATTTTTATGCTAATGAAGCGGGGGAGATTTAAATCCCCGCTTCATTAGCAACTGCGACATGTCTAATTTACATCCCTTTTACGAAAAAGGGATGTAATCTAGATGTAGACAGACAGTCCACTCCCTGAAGACTTTACTGTCCCTTAAAACAAGAACAAGCGGCAACAGAAACGACTAGTACGTTATATAGAGTTATGTTTGGAACTACCTGCTCTCTTCCACCTTTGTAACCACCACCCAGGCGGATTTGACCCGGGGCCCTCTGAAGCAGAGTATGGGAGCCTCTACCCTCTGAGCTAAAAGCCAGTTGGCGCCCAGGCCATGCTGTACAGGTCTCTTGATCTTAACTGTTGCTGTGGTCTAGGTACCACTTGCATTGCTCAATAACCACACTAGGGGTGTGTCTAGACTACAGGCAGTCCCCGACTTACGCGGATCCGACTTACGTCGGATCCGCACTTACGAACGGAGCTTTCTCGATGTTGAAACTGCTAACCACTGGGGTGGTTTCCTTACCAACTTAGGGTGTGTCAAGACTACACCTCTCTGTCGACAGAGAGATGTGGATTAGGCCCTTCAAAAGTTCAAATGAAGCCGGGATTTAAATATCCCATGCTTCATTTGCATAAACATGGCTGATGCTTTTTTTTTAAATGGAGCTTTTTTGAAAAAAACTGGCAGTCTAGACACGATCTTTCGAAATACAACCCTTTTCACGAGACATAAGGGAGCGGTCGACAAAGGCTTCCTGTTGACCAATCCATGTCTAGACTGCCATGCTGTGCCGGATTAGCTGATTGTCAGCACAGCGTGGCGGGCATTTTTATTTTAATGAAGCAGGGATTATTTAAATCCCCGCTTCATTGACTATGTCGGGTAAACTAGTTTACATGGCTCCGTTGATGGAGCCATGTAGTCTAGACACGCCCTAGGTGTGTGGGTTACATATACACACTCAAATAATCCTACCTCCATTCATTTCCACTGGAGTCAGTGAGATGTTCCCCACTGAGGCTATGTCTAGACTGCAAGCCTCTTTCGAAAGAGGCTCTTTCGAAAGATACTTTCGAAAGAACCTCTTTCGAAAGAGAGCGTCTAGACTGCACGCGGAATTTAAAAAAAGCAAGCTGCTTTTTTGAAAGAAAGCACCCAATGAGTCTGGATGCTCTCTTTCTAAAAAGCCTGTTTGCTTTCAAGAACGCCTTCTTTCGAACGAGCACTTTCGAAAGAAGGCGTTCTTCCTCGTGGAATTAGGTTTACCACGGTCGAAAGAAAAGCCGCATTCTTTCGATTTAATTTCGAAAGAACGCGGCTGCAGTCTAGACGCAGGTGAAGTTTTTTCGAAAAAAGGCTACTTTTTTCGAAAAAAACCCTGAGTCTGGACACAGCCTGAGAGTAAGAGCTTCACAGTTTGGTTCCTACTATGTTTTGCATTCAGTTTAGTCTGTCAGAAACTCATTATTGTGGAAGAAATCCCCCAAAACACAAGTGGTTTTATCCTGGCTATTTAAGTATACACAGAAAAGGCCAACTTTGCAACCATGCATAGTGAAAATAAGTGCTTCCTACTGCTTGATTCAGGACATCTGGTCACCCCACTTAGGACACTGGCCCTTTCCAGTAACTGAACCTGGCAGTATGTACTACAAACCAAAGGCACGTCTATTTCTTCCTACAACAATAGCAGCAGGTCATTGCCATGACTGAGCTCACAATACTGATGTTCTTACCACCACTGAGTAATGCCGTAATGCACTGCAGTGTAGCTAAAGAGTCTGGACTCTATTCCAAAGTGATGATGGTAAGTAGGGCTATTAATTGCTTGTCAGTATTCACAGCTGCTTCCAACAAAACTTTCTGGATAACATGGAAAATCAGGTTATCTGGTGAAGTCGTTCTCAACCAGAGGTATACGTACCCCTTGTGGCATGGGAAGGTCTTCTAGGGAGGGCATCATCTCATCTAGATATTTGCCTAGTTTTACAACAGGCTACATAAAAAGCACTAGCTAACTCAATGCAAACTAAAATTTCATACAATGCCTTATTTATACGGCTCTATATACTATAAACTGAAATGTAAATACACACTCAAATAATCCTACCTCCATTCATTTCCACTGGAGTCAGTGAGATGTTCCCCACTGGCAATGTTTGTATTCCAGTTGATTTATTGTATAATTTTCTGATAAAAAGTAGGCAATGTGACAGTAATAGTGTGCTGTGATGCTTTTATATTTTTAGGTCTGATTCTGTAAGCAAGTAGTTTTTAAGTGCAGTGAAATATGAAGCCAAAAAAATACAAATCAGATTCCTGAAAGGGGTACAGTAGGCTGCAAAGATTATGAGCCACTGCTTCAGGAAAGCTTCTAAAGCAGACAGTATGTCTCCATTTTATTGAATGCACAATAAAGATTCCTGAAAGGGATACAGTAGACTGCAAAGATTATGAGCCACTGTTTCAGGAAAGCTTCTAAAGCAGACAGTATGTCTCCATTTTATTGAATGCACAAGCAAATGGAGGCACAAAAAAAGAGAATGCACTTTCAGAATGCAATGAGGGCTTTGTTTGTTTGTACTGCAGAAGGCAGCACCCTTCCATAATGGAACTGAGGATGGGCATTAATCAGAATTCATTTTATGTGACTGTCTAGGTTCTTCTCGGCCTTGCCATTACTTGGCTGATATGCTTTGTACTCACTGTTACCAGTGCCTTTCCTTCGGACCCCGCAGTTTATGGCTATCCAGCTCGGACGGACATCAAAGGTGATGTTTTGTCCCAAGCACCTTGGTTCCGGTTCCCATATCCAGGTATAGTTGTAGGAATGTTTTGAAAATTATTTACTGTTCATACTCCCATTGTGGTTTTGTGTGTAGGATTTTTGCTTTTATGGGTCTAAAATGGTAGTGGAAAATGAGAAGATACTGAGGGACCCAAATGGTAAAGTTCAGGTGGGGCTGCCCTTCAAGCACGGGCCAATGCTTAGAAAAGTCACTAGTGATTTACTTAAATGGATTTTACAGCAAAACTAGCCCCAATGATCTGACTCTTGTTTTTAATTTGCAGGCCAATGGGGAATTCCGACAATCAGCTTGGCCGGGGTATTTGGCATCATAGCTGGAGTGATTTCCTCCATGGTGGAGTCAGTAGGCGATTACTTTGCCTGTGCCCGATTGTCTGGTGCCCCGCCCCCGCCAAAGCATGCTATCAACCGTGGAATTGGAGTTGAGGGAATTGGCTGCCTTCTGGCTGGGGCATGGGGAACAGGGAATGGCACTACCTCTTACAGCGAGAATGTTGGAGCACTGGGAATCACCCGGGTAAGGTTTACTGCACTGCCACCAGCCCACAGCAATGGATTACTGAGCTAGGTCCCTGCCCACTATGGAAAAGAGCAATAGTTTTTAAAGACTGGCTATACTTGTGAGCTGTGTCTAGACTGGCCAGTTTTTCCGGAAAATCAGCTGCTTTTCCAGAAAAACTTGCTAGCTGTCTACACTGGCCGCTTGAATTTCCGCAAAAGCACTGACTTCCTACTGTAAGAAATCAGTGCTTCTTGCGGAAATACTATTCTGCTCCCGTTCAAGCAAAAATCCCTTTTGCGCAAAAGGGCCAGTGTAGACAGCTCAGATTTGTTTTCTGCAAAAAAGCCCCGATCGTGAAAATGGCGATCGGGGCTTTTTTGCGGAAAAACGCGTCTAGATTGGCCACGGACGCTTTTCCACAAAAAGTGCTTTTGCGGAAAAGCGTCCGTGTCAATCTAGACGCTCTGTTCCGAAAATGTTTTTAACGGAAAACTTTTCCATTAAAAGCATTTCCGGAAAATCATGCCAGTCTAGACGCAGCCGTGGGGTTTTTATAAATATACTAGAAGACTTACCCGACATTGCCCAGGTCCTTCAGTGCAGGGGACTGGCAGTGTGTAGAAGAGTCAGGGCAGGGGCTTGGGGGTGTGAAGGGGGGAAGGGCAGGAGGCTGGGGTAAGAGTGAGAGAATTGAGAGACTAGCACTGCGTCCAAGCGTTGGGGGGAGCTGGGGGGTAGGGCAGGGGGCTACTTACCTGGTCTGGTGGCAGGCAAGATAGTGAACCTCAGCCCCAGCTGCTCATTCTCTTGGTCGTGCAGCTGCCCCCAAGTGGTCACTTTGAAGTATAGCTCTCCCCTGCATACACTGCCCCCCAGTGGTGTCTCTGCATATTACACTCCTCCAAGCAGCCTCTCCCTTTCCATATTATGGAAAATAGTCCCATTCCAGGGACTTTCCATTTTCCTAGTACAACCAAACCCTGACCGTGCTTTAAGTTAGGCTAAGAGGAAGCTGTATAACAAAATGTGGTGACCCTAGCTCTTATCATTCAGGAGGAATTCTTGAACAAATGGACTCACAGACAAACAGACAGATGCACATTTCTAAAATATATAGATAGATTACACACTCTTACCATATGTCATATTGCTGGGTCTATGAAGTGATCACAGTCCACCTCAAAAGTACGTGTCCTCATCACAAAAAAAATTACCACATTGGTTTCTAGTTGGCTCGTAGGGAGACCCAGGATCAAATGGGCCATGTGACCTGAACTGTCATTCCATTTCTATGGGGAGGGGTTGCTCCAGTGTGGGGAAGGCATGTTGTTAGGGTGGCACGTGAGACACATTCATGGTGATTATTTGCTCTGCAGCTCTTCTGGAGATAAAGAGAGCCCTTCACTCTGGGACCTTCCCTGAGAGCCAACTTCCACAAAATATTGAGAAAAAATGAAAAAAAGAAATATATAGTCTTTAAAAACTGGTCATGTTTTATGATACTTGGAACTAAGCAATGGCAGGGATACTAAAGTGGCACACTTTTTGGTAACTACAAAAGTCAAGCCATAAGGTTAAGCAATTTTAATAGTTTTAATCATTATACAGTTAAACTATTTTCTGAATTATTATATTGCAATTCTTGTAGAGCCGTGGTCACCAACCGGTCGATTGCGATCGACCAGTCGATCGCGAGGCCTCGACCAGTCAATCGCGAGGTGTTCGGGCTCCCCCACCCCCCATTTTCCCCCCAACTCTGAGAAGCCCCACTACCTACCCCCAGCGCAGTGCTGGCTTCCCGCGGGGTGGACGGAAGTCCTGCCTGCATCTTCGCGACACTTCTGGGGGTTCTGAAAGTGCACTAGCTGCTCCCCTCCCACAGCTCTGTGGCATGCCAGGCGCGCTGTGGTAGGGGGCATCAGCCCCGGAGGAGGAGCTCGGCGGCTTCCCTGTGCCACAGGAGGGGTGAGTCGAGAGCAGGGGTTTCCCTGCGCTGCGGGAGTGGGGGTCAGCCCTGGGGTTTGGCTCTGGGGCAGGTGCACGCGGGGGTTTGGCTGCACTGCGGGAGGGGGGGTTGGCCCTGGCAGTTTGGCGGCGCCGCAGGGCAGGGGGTCGGCCCTGGAGGAGGCACGCGCCAGCTTCCCGGGGGAGGGGGAAGGGAAAAATCCTGGGAGGAGGCGGGTGCAGGGGACTCCCTGCCCCCACTGGCCCCCTGTTCCCTCTCCCCACTCCCCAGCCTCAGAAACCTGTCCCCACTGGCACCCTATCCCCTGCCCTCCCGGTACCCTGTTCCCTCTCCCCTGTAGCCAGCTGCAGAACTCTGTCCCCACTGGGACCCTGTCCCCTGCCGAAGCACCCACTAGCCAGAAAAACTCTTTTGCATCCAGGGTTGCGTTTGTTCTTCCACTTCTTTTAGTGGAAGAGCAAACATGATCTTTTGGTCACCCCTATAGTCCTCTTTCCACGAGGAATAAGGGGGCTTCCAAAACAAGGGGTTTTTCTGACATTTGGTCCAGTCTAGACAGGCCAAGTGTTGGAAAAACTTCTTCCTACAGAAGAATTGGGAAAAAAGCAGCAGTATAAGGACTGGGGATAGCAAGTGATGGAGAGGAGGAGAATAGAGAGGGCGGGGCTTCGAGGAAGGGGCGGGGCGGTAGATCTTGGCTTAGTCTGTCATTTAAAAAGTGATCTTGGGTGTAAAAAGGTTGGCGACCACTGTTGTAGAATGCCAAGGTGGGTGAGGTAATATCTTTTATTGGATCAACTGCTGGTGTGAGACAAGATTTCAAACTTACACAGAGTTTCCCAGACCAGTGGAGGTCAATGAAGGTCTTTCTGTTGTTGGCTTCTGGGCTCCATTCCTGCATAGTGTCCAGTCCCTGTGCCTCTGGGATCCCCTCCCAGCCACCAGACTCTCAGCCAGTGACTTGCCTCCACTTCTGGATGCCAGCACCTCTGCTTGCCAGGCTCCCAGCTGGACCAGGGATGTAGCTGAGAGATGTAGCTCCCACCAGGGCTCTCTGGTCCAGCAACATTCATTCAGCCAGCTCCCCTGCTGGACTCAGGGCTCCCACCAGGGCTCTCTGGTCCAGCAACATTCATTGGCCTACTGCCACAATTTTTCCCTTGGAGCATCCATGGGGTCCCGAGGATGCTGGACCATGGATGTAGCTGAGAGAGTTCCACACTAGAGAGTTTCAACCTGTATTAGTTTCCTGCAGTATTGAACATCTTTGATCTTAAGGCTACAGACCTAGGTAAACACAGACAAATACATTTAGCATCTACCCTTGGGTTCTTATCGATAGAAAGTGAATAAGCTGGGGCTCGCTAGCCTGACATTTCTTGGATACCCATACGTAGATGGATTATCATGATTACAGTTGTAATGCCTCCTGTTAAGTTGTAATCGGTAATACACAGGTAGGCATGGATGGTCTATCAGTGTTAAATCTAGTATAAATAATTATTTTGGTCTTTACTAAGACAGATTTGTTAAATGGAAAGAACACTGAGACCTTACACCCAGGGGACAGAAAAAGCAGATGTAAAAACTAACAGACCCATATGGATTGCTTTATTTTGGAACACAGTGCCACTGCCTCCTCAGAGCTGATTCACTAATATCTCACAAGCCAAGAGATGTTTAAAAAGAAACAGTAATAGCTTATGAAATTGGTTTTGCTGAAACAAAACCCCTTGTCTGAAAGATGAAATGTTTCACATATTACCAAGGGAGAATTAAAATAATTAATTTAATTTTAAAATGTCAACAAGAATTATACAATTCATCTTCCTAAAACATGAACATTGCATCCCTTAGTGGGGTTCTTTAACATGCAGCAATATACTGCATTTTCCCATGCAGGAACATACTGCTTTTAATTGAAGGTCCAAAACAAGTGTTTTGGTTGTCTTTCCCCCTTAATTTACATCGCTGTTAACTTCTCCTGAACAACTTAAAAGCTTGTTCCGCAGTTTGTTTCTTTTTTATTTGGATACTTTGCAAGATTTGTGTGAAAGGAGAAGTTCTTATGCTTGATCCTTGTGTTTAGTGCATTGCCTGACTAAAAAAGTTCCCTTGTTTGATCCTGTGAAAAGTAAGAGAAATCTTGCTGCTTCACTTCATATACCTGAGTTATGATGTGTAAAGGCAAACTAAAGTGCCTAGCCAGTTATTTTTTAACAAATGCTCGATCTGTCATTGAAAGAGATAGATCGAAACAGAGTCTCTCCAGCTTCCAAACATGACTGTGAAAAGGCTTGATCCTAGTCTGGAAATCAGTGCAAACTTGGTCGTCAACTTCAATGTGAGGAGAGTTGGCCACCGAGTTTGGAAGGAAGTCTTAAGCAATGCTCTGAGTTTGTGTGACACTAAACTCAGAATAATCAAATAAACAGTCACTCATAATTTCCAGCTGTCTTCAGGAGTTTTTAGAATGGTGTCATAGCAAAGCCCTTAGCAGAAGTAATTAATACTGTAGCTAATTAATACACATTTTGTGCACAGTAATGGTTCATTAATATTACATGATAAATTGGCTGACAATGGTAAGGTATTTCCAGAGGAAAGGATTTCATGCAATAAGATAAATCTACAATTGTCTTCAACCAGGTGAGGTGTTGATTATACAGTTGGTTATTCATCAACCAGTCCCCGTGAGGTTATGTCAGTAAAGAGCTCTCAAGCTGCTTGGTCTGAGTCTAGAATTTAACATGGTATGGAACAATCTAGTAAATCTGGATACCACCAGACCTTGCAATATTTACAGCCTTCCATCCTCCAATTCTGCGTACTCTGTACAGTGATCTTGTCCTGTCCCTTTTGACACAGGTAGGGAGTCGAACAGTGATCGTTGCTGGTGGCTGCGTGTTGCTTGTAATAGGCATGTTTGGGAAGATCGGTGCTGTGTTCGCCAGCATACCCACACCCCTGATTGGAGGATTGCTCCTTGTGATGTTTGGAATCATCACTGCTGTAGGGGTTTCCAATTTGCAGGTAATGGGCTCCTTAGATATAAGGATTTAATTTACTAGACCAAATCCTCCACCACCGTAATTCACACTAAGTAGCAGTCATGTTGGCAATTTCCTCCGAGGCCAGTGAATGGACCAGACAGGCTCAGTTGCAGTGGGATCACCAGAAACTGAGTCCCCGGGTTACCAGTACAACTTATCGGATAACTAGCATTGCCAGTGAATTCCAGCGGCAGCTAGTTGCGCCAGGCCAGAACAGCTCTGGTCATGGAGGGGCCGGCAGGCCAGGTGATGGGACCGCACAGCTTTACTGGGACTGGGTGGCAGGTCCTGAGTTAAAACAGTTAACTGTTTTAACATCTCTACTGGTTAACTTCTCGTGGGATTGCAGCATTGCTAGTAGGTCAATGACATCAGAGTTACAATGGGTTGGTCACATTACCTGGTGATCCCTACTGTCACCCGAGACAGTCTTTCCTGACTGGCTGATTTGATGCACATTGGTGCAGGTGGAAGCCCAGACTGTACCTGTCATGAAGTATTTATTTTCAGGGTAGCTCCATAAATTCCACTTGAACTGTATATTCTGATGTTAGCAAGGCTTTTGGTACAGTCCCACATGACTTCCTCATAAACAAACTAGGGAAATACACTATGGATGAAACTAGTATAAAGTGGGTGCACCACCAATTGAAAGACCATACTTAAACAATAGCTATCAATGGTTGAATTGGGAGGATGTATCCAGTGGAGTCCCACAAGGGTCAGACCTGTGTCCGATATTAGTTAGTGCTTTCATGAATGACTTGGATAATGGCATGGTGATTGTGCTTATAAAACTTGCAGGTGACAATGGGGTGGCAAGCTCTTTGGTGGACAGGATTAGAATTCAAAACAGCCTAGACAAATTGGAGAATTGGTCTGAAATCAACAAGGTGAAATTAAATAAAGGCAAATGCAAAGTACTTCTCGTAGGAAAGAGAAATGAAATGGACAGCTACCAAATGAAGACTAACTGGGTAGGTGTTGGTCCTGCTGAGAACAATCGGGGATCACAATATATTACAACTATCCTATGAGTCAACAATGAGATGTAGTTGGTAAAAGGTCTAATAGTCTGCACAGCAGTAAGACTTGGGAGATAACTGTGCTGCCCTATTCAGCACAGGCAAGATCTTAGTTGGAGCACTGCATCCAGTTCTGAGTGCCACACTTTAGGAAAGATGTAGACCAACTGGAGAGAGTCTAGAGGAGAGCACCAAAAATGCTAAAAGATTTTTAAAACTTTACTTATTAAGAAGGGCTAAACTCCTCCCCCCCCCAAACTCCTCCCCCCACAAAAACCGTGAACATCTTTAGTTTTGCGGAAGAAAGATTGAGGGGCCCTGATAACAGTCTTCAAATAAATTAAGGGTCATTATAAAGAGAATAGTTATGAACTGTTCTCCATGTCCACTGAAGGAAGGAGAAGTAATGGACTTAATCTGCTGCAAGAGACATTCAGGTTATGTGTTAGGAAAAACTTTCTAACTCTAGTTAGTTAAGGACTGGAATAGGTTACCAATGGATTGTAGAGAATACCATCACTGAAGGTTTTTAAGATGTTGTACAAATGCCTGTCAGAGATCTTCTAGGTTTACATGGTCCTGCCTTAGCACAGGGGGCTGCACTTGATGACTTTCCAAGGTCCCTTCTGGCTTTCTGATTCTGTACGAAAGAATGCCAGCTGATAATGTGGCTCTGTATACAGGAGATCCTTGTGATTTATGGAATTTCTGTTTGTGGTTCTGCATATTCATGGAAGTCTCCTGTCCCAGCCTGGAGAGGGTTGTGGAGACCGGGAGCCATGGGGAACTCACCACAGCTCCTGGCCCCCATGGTACATTCCCCATGGCTCTCAGCCCCAGCAGTGAGTTTGGGAACTGTGGGGAGCTTATTGTGGGGACCAGAAATCACAGCTTCCAGTATTTGCAAATTTTGCCATTTGCAGAGGTGCCAGGAAAGCATCCATCACGAATGGTGAGGGTTTCCTGTACCAGTGTATTTCTGCACATAGTTGTTAGTTTCAATTCTACTTTAAACAGCTGTTTCTGCAAAAGCTTATGAAATTTTGCCTCTAGAAACTGTCACTGCATATGTGTGAGTGGGTACAAGAATTCACCAGCAGGACCAGGCAGTTTATAGCTTTTCATTGTTTTGAGCGGTATGTATTAACATGTGTAATCTCTCTGTATAGTATGTGGACATGAACTCCTCAAGAAACCTGTTTATCTTTGGATTTTCTATATATGCGGGTCTGGCAATTCCCAGCTGGGTAACCAAAAATTCTCAAGTGCTAGAAACAGGTAAACATGAATATCCTCATTTATTGCAATCATCCTCCCAAGTATGAAATGGAAGTCTGCCAGATGAAGCTGTTTTCAATGGTAAAATAGAAAAATCTCATGCCCTGGTTTGGAAGACGAAGTGCAGCAATTTCTGTTGTTGAGCTGCATGTGTCTCCTTGGCAATCGTGTCACTTGTGGCCCATAGTCATTGGCTCTGTTTTTGGTCAAATGTGTCTTTGGGTCACTGTCAGAGGCTTTGTTTTTCTTTTAGGAATTCTCCAGCTAGACCAAGTGATCCGAGTGCTCCTCACTACCGGCATGTTTGTGGGTGGATTCCTGGCATTTGTCCTTGATAACACGATTCCAGGTATGGTCAGCTGTAACGGTTTAGTCCTCTACTCCCTAAAATCTCCAACCAGAGCTCCTGACCAGTAAACTCTGCTGGTTGGAGCAATGGGGGTGATAAGAGAGAGCTAGCAGAGACAGGGCCCCAATTGCCACTGGCATTTAAGTGCCGTGTCCTCTAAAACTATTTAGAGGTGGCCAAAGTGCCAACAGGCCCCTGGAATGTCGTGTGCACTCCCATGGAGATTGAGCTTGGGTGGTGTGATCATGGCTGCCATCTTGCTTCATGCACTTGAGAACTACAGAGTTAAAAGCATGAGCTGCTACAGCATGAGCTGAGTTAAGCTTCTACAGCCAGGAGGCCATAGCAACTCCTTGTCTCTGTGCACTGATGCAGAGGGGGAACCTGTAACATACACCTACTAGGGGTTTACATCGGGAATAGTGGGAGATATTAGGAACATACTTACTGTACACAAAGCCCTGGCAAAGCTCTGGAAAGGTAGGCTGTAGTCAAGTGTCTACAGATAGCAGAAAGGCTTCTGTTCTGAGCAATCTAAAGGGAGGAACTGGGATGGACGGGAGCAAATGTGCACTCGAGCTAGTTTTAAAAAGAATCATTTTAACTATAGTCAACATCCATGGAGTGTGATAGCTCCACATGGTAATCACTGGAGAACCCTGCTTACAATGCTGTTATATCAGGAAGAAAAGTATCTTCTAATCGTGTTCATTGATGTTTGCTGAGTGCTTTGAATGCTACAGAAGTGTATCTATCATGTGGCACTAAGAGACTATTCTGGGAGTAGTATGGTACCAGAACTGTGTGTCATTAGGTAACTGCACTGTATGTTTGCTTACGTCAGGGTTAATGGTTCCTCAGTAACTTTCCTCTCATTTCCTTTGGTAGGAAGCCAAGAAGAGCGAGGACTCTTAGCATGGAAAGAGACCAGCCAGGAGGAGTGTGATGAGGCACGTGTTTTGGAAGTCTACAATCTTCCATTTGGGATAGGCACCAAATTCTGCACTTTCTCTTGGGCTCAATATCTTCCAACTTGCCCCCAAAGGCTTTCTGGGACCAAGAGAAAGGAAGAACCAAAGAACCTCAAACAGGAAAACAGTTTCCAAATAAATTCAGAAAGAGAACCTGAGATAGACATTGATACAAGGATGTAAGTCCATGGTTAGGAGATGGACTCTCATTTGCAAAGCACATACCATAAAAACCATGTTTACAGACATCCTGATAGAGGAGTGCTTTTCCTAGCTCTGCCACTGACTCCTTGTGTGACCTTGAGCAAGTCACTTTAGGGGGGAGGGATAGCTCAGTGGTTTGAGCATTAGCCTGATTAAACCCAGGGTTGTAAGTTCAATCCTTGTGGAGGCCATTTAGGGATTTGGGGCAAAAATTCATCAGGGATGGTACTTCATCCTGCTGAGAAGGCTGACCTTTCAAGGTCCCTAGGAGATAGGCAATCTCCATTATATATTTTTTTTAACCTCATCTGCCTCCATTTATCCAGATGAAGCAACAACAAACTGATTGAGGGACAGCCTGGCCAGGAGCCATAAGCACTTATGAAGTCTTTTTGTTTTTTGTTTTCCTTCCCTTCTCGCTGTGAGCCATGACAGCTTTGATCAGAGTCTGAATAGCATATGCATGGCAGTTTTCTCTCTCCCATGACAGCTATTCTACCACCGTTAAGATTACTGGGAGCAACATGAAAAGGGCATATACTAACCAGGGTCCTAACCAGGATTGTCAGGTGTTAACTTGGGCTCCCTGGAGAAGGAGAGCTCTGTTCTGTGCTGTATCTGTGTATGGGGAAGAAACAAGAGAAGAAAGGAAATGGGAAAGAACATTCCTGTATGAAATGAAAGAAGGGAGAGAGGAACAGCAAAAAGCAGTTTGCTCCACTTATGTATGTTTGTGTGTGTGTGATTTAGAACAGTGTTTGCCAACAACAGTCTGTGAACCAGCACAGGTCTTGACATCTCCCTGACACAGTTTAGGAAGGTAGCAGGTTGGTCTCTGGTATCAGAAACGTTCTGAATCACTGCTCAGAGGAAGTTGGCCTTGGAATTGATCTGGCCAAAGAAAAGACATTTCAATTTTTGAGCAGTTTTGAAAAAATTGGGGCAGAAGGAGAGAATTGTTTTGGTTGAACCAAAACGGACAGTTTTCAAAATTTTGGGGGTGAACTGAGAAGTCAAGTGGATAAGTGGACCGTTTGGATGATACTAAAATGAAACCTTTCATTTTGACTTTTAGGCATTTTTACAAAAGCAAAAGAGTCATAAAATGGCCTGTGGAGGTCCTACTTCAGGGCTGGGCAAACTACGGCCTGTCAGCCACAGCTGACCTGTCGGATCTTTTCATCAGATGTGTAGTTGGGGACTTACCCTGCTCATAAAATCATAGAGGAGTGTAGTAAGTTGAGGGTCAGTAACATGGAGTCAGCAGGCCTAAGGCCTGTAACATGAAAACAGCAGCGGGCCTGCAATCTAGTGAGCAAGACTTTGGTTCAGTAACTCAGATACTCATAACTGTGTAATTGTGTAAGTTAGGACACAGGGAGGCACAGAGAACAGACTGTAAGCCAAAAGGGAGTGACGGAATATCTTAAGGAATGTCCTGGTACAAAAACTCCCTAAACACGAATGCACATACTGACCTAGGTTCAGGACCAGGTCGGAATTGACAGCATGAAGGATAATAAGTAAGCCCCCCCCTTCCGTAAGGTGAGGGGTGGTAACTAGGCAACAGAGGGTGGTAACCTGGTACGTAAAGAAATGATGTAAGTTGTTTGTATCTGTCTATAAAAGGACACCACAAAAGGTGCTCTCCGGCCAACCTTGGGGAGGGGGGCGCACTAGGTGCCTGAACGGCAGGTGACATTGCCTAAACTTACAGAATGCACAGTAGCTTAACTTTGACTAACTGCTGTTCATATCTGATATATGGCAATAGGCCTGCCCGGTGTTGGTACCTTGTCAACGCAGGCCATAGTGCCCAGTGGAGTAACATTGTACTGATCTCTGTTATCAACTGGTAGAGCTTCGCATTTGACAATAAACCTGCTCGATTGATTTCAAACCTTGCCTGCATCTGTCGTTTCCGGGGCCTCTCAGAGATCTCTTGTGTTGACCCAAGTGCACGGGGTCTAACACTCTAGATAAGGGGAGTACTGATTGTTACGCACGCAGCCGAAAGTTTAACAACGGAGTAGAGGTCCTGTCAGGAGCGCGCCAGGACAACCCTGACCAGACGACGCTGACACTGACAGTCCAGACCACCGAAGGTACCGAGGTACGAAAACACCGAGGTACGACAGCGATATTCCATGCTTCGCCTCATTCGCATTTTTTTTGCGCAAGAGGATGCAGAATAGACATAGCCTTGCTGTGCCACTCACCGTTAAGGGTGAGTCTTACCAGTTAACTAATTAACCTTTTACATTTCTAGTACAAACCAGGAGTTGACACTTCAGACTTAGATAGAGGGAAGGATGGATACAAGTATAATAAAAATACAAATATGTTCAAATGTGTGGACAAATGTGTTCTCTGGCAAATCTGATTATGTTTTTAGATAGCCCTCAATGACCTAGGTGTATTACTAAAAGAAGTGTGGCTTTAATTCCCTCCCCCCTTTCACGTTTCTAGTTTTATCTATGAATGAGTTTTTATCCATATCCCAGTTTTTCTGTTCAAAAGGCAGGCAGCGGACAGCCCTGTCCGCTGCCCACGTGTTCCGCCGCTTTGCTTCCTCTCCCTGGTCTGCTGGAGACCAGGGAGAGGAACGGCCTGTTCGTAACTGCGGATCCGACATAAGTAACTGCATAAGTAACATAAGCCGGATCCGCGTAACTCGGGGACTGCCTGTATTGGAAAAGTTCTGCTGTGTGCAAGGAACACGTTTGCTTTTCCAAAAAATTTTTGGAAAAGCAGATGTGGTTTTTTGGCATCCCTGTAAATATCGTTTTACAAGAAAGAAGGGATGTTCTGAAAGAGGTTTTTTTTGCAACATTTGGCCTCACGTAGATGGGCCAATTGTCAGAAAAGCCTCTTTCGGAAGAAAAGCGGAAAAAGATACACAAATTGTGCTTTGCTATCTTTTTCTGACTTTTCGTTGTAGTGTATACACAACCAAACAAGGCACAGCCCATGCAGGTCACAACAGCTCCCTATCCACACTGACTTCCTGCTAGGAGCCTCTTTAGGTATTATATTTCCTGCTCACAGAATCCTGAGAGGCACAAAAACTTTGTGGGAACTTCCCCAGGCAGATGCCCTCTGTTTGCCTGTTCTCCATTTGCTGCTCACTCAGTTAGCAACTGGTTACTTTTTTATATGGCTGCTTGCTCAAAGCAGTTGGCCCAACTCAAAGCCCTCTCTCCTGTCAACTACGGAAGGGCCAGCTGGAACAAAGCTCTTCCAATTCACACTTTTCAAACACACACATAGATGTTCTCTCTCTCTCTCTCTCTCTGTTCCTGCAACTAACTCCAGTCAAACTAACAGTCACAGCAGACAGATACTCGGATATTCACCCTACCAGCTCACAACACAGCCCCCCTAATACAGCACTCACTGTAGCCCTTCTTGGATGGTTCCCAAGGAAACTCCCTCTGTTTGCCTCTCTTCTCTTCCCTGTCTGGAACACCCGGCAGATGACGGTGCGAGGATGCCCCTTTTTTCTGAGGCTCCCCAATTGACAGGCCCAATTGGCTGGGACCCCGGGCGTGCTCGTTTGGCTCAGTGCCTAATCTGCTACTGGGGAGAGGTCAGGCTAATGAGTGTTTATGGCCTGCCATGCAATTTGACTACTCAGATGTGGTCCTCAGGCCAAAAGTTTGCTCACCCCAGTTCTACCGCCAGCTCCCCTATAAGCTTTAACCCTGTGGTGAGACTCCTCACTTGGCTTGTGGGAGACTCAAGTTCAATTCCTCTCCTTTGCCTGAGGGTGGCAGTAGAATTTGAACAAAGGTCTCCTGTACTGTAGGAGCTGGCTCTAGCCACGGGCCTATCATTGGAGCTGGGACTTTAATGTGGGTCTCCATCTCCCAGGTGCATGCCCCAACTCCCAAGATAGAACCATTCTTACTCTTTCCACGCTCCAGTGATGGACTGAACTATGAATGACTATGACTTGCCACTCTGAATGGCAATGAATCTAGCTAGTGCCAGTAACAATAGCAGTGAAGCCACGACAGCATGGACCAGCCACTTAGGTCACAAGGGAAGTTTTGAACTGCCCCATGGTGATCTGGCTTCCTATTTTTGTTGACACTAGCTAGATCAAAATTAGCTGGAGTACATCTGTCTGTGCTGCAGTCACACATCTGATTGCAGTGTACACAGACTCTGTCCAGCGGGGCAGGGTGTGGGAGGCCCAGCGCTGTGCCCCTAGAAGGGGTGGAGCCTCAGGTAAAAGGGGTGGGGCTGGGAGCAGTGAGCCCTCAGTACCACCCAGACTGGGCTGTGACCCACTTCTCTAACCCTCAGCCCTCACAGCTGCAGCAGTGGCAGCAGCAGCCAGAGCCCCAATGCAACTCCCTCTTTTGCCTCCCTTGTCAGCGGACCTGCCTATGTCTCACTTTCAAAAGTGACAGAGGCTCTCAGGAGCCTGTGCACGTGTCTATATTATAGCAGCTGCGGTTGTGCTTCTATAATGCTATTGTGTAGACACTTCCTGCAGTGACAGAAGGGGTTTTCCAACCTTCCAAAAGACAACTAGTTCAACAAAAGAACTGTTCTGTCTCCCTAGCAGCATCACCAGGGAGTATGTGTGCGTTTCCACACCCCAAACAACAGAGCTAGGTCAATTTTAATTATTCAGTTTACACTGCAGAAATGATGGGAGCAATTTCTAAATACCTTTAAAAATCTGAGCCATAATTTCTCAATGCTTCTGTTCCTCATCCTCCCCAGGGGCACACCACCACGTGTGCCCTTTCAGACCGTGAGATCGTGTGTGTGTGTGTGTGAACGTGTGTGTGAGCGTGTGCACGCACACGCTTGCCTAGCAGAATGCAGCTCAGTTGGGGCTTTTAGGTATTATTTACCATAATATGCATACTCAGCTGCTGCTGTACTTCCATGACACAATTCAAGAGATTAAGAATAGCTATTCAAACCAACATTGTACATAAACAACAGCCTGCCAGTAAGCAATGATGCTCTCATATTTCATTGGTAACACAATGAGACAGAATCACCTGGTATGTTACGTTGTACATTTGAAAGCTATCTGCAAAAACAAAAATAAACAAACAAAAAATCACCCATCACTGCTCAGGCAGTGTTTGTTACCTGCTCACAAGGGGTTTTGTTTTGCAACCCAGATTATTTAAGCTGCCTCTTGGGTCTGCTTAGAGGAGAAATGTTGGTGCTTTTAGGAGTCCAATCTTGCCTCCCCCCATCCTGCAAAGACTTAAACATGTGCTTGTACTCTCAAGACTTAGGGGAATTTATGGAGGTACTGGAATTGGTGATCCAAAAGAGTGGGCCGACAAAAGAGACAATAATAAATTAAGGGCCTAATAGCAGCATACAAAGATCAAACTGTGAATGGGAAAGATTTCTGAACACGTTCTGATGAAAATCCCAGGCTACATCTACAAGGCAGGCTTCTTGTGCAAGAACTGTTTTGCGCAAGAGTTCTTGTGCAAAAATTCTTGCGCAAGAGCACTGCCATGTGCTTTTGCGCAAGAGCATCCATGGCAGCATGGACGCTCTCTTGCGCAATAAACCTGTGTTGCCCACCCACACTGCCTTCTTGCGCAAGAGGGCTTATTCCTTGTGGGGAGAGGAATAACTCTTGTGCAAGAAGCCCTCTGTTCCAATGTCTTACTGTAAATTTACTTGCGCAAGAAAGTGCATGCAGTGTAGACACGCTGCAAGTTTTTGCGCAAGAATGGCCGTTCTTGCGCAAGAAGCCTGCAGTGTAGACATAGCCCCGTGGTATGGATCACATACATATCGTCATTATTCATTACTAGAGATTTACCTGGTGTTACTTGGGTGCTTAACACAATTACATTTTGTTTTCTGGAAAATAAAATGAAAATGTACATGCTTCAGTTGAATCATTGCTCTGGGCGGGGCTGGGGATGAGGTATTCAGTTGCAAGCTGGCCCAGGAGAGAGGACTATCAAAGGTCTCTCAATGGAGAGTGTGGAGCCAGGTGAAAAGTACCTCTCCATGGCTGCTGCAGCTCCTATGAGCACAGCCAGGGGAGGGGTACATGTCCCTTGGCTGGGGGAGGTCCAGGTTCATCTGCCCCCGGTGCTCAGCAGCCAGAGTGAGGAATGCAGCAAACTGTGCACTTTTCCCCTTGGCTCCCTGACAAAGGGGGAACAGCCAGTAATATTCCCTTAGGAATCTGGGCAGGCGATAGGAACTTTAACCACCCCACCCTCCGTAAAGGGCTCCTGGACAGTGGGGCATGCCCCTAGCCAGCCCCTTTCACCGGCCTGGTGGTTCTGTCTATTTTCTGCATGGTTTTATGAGAAGCAATCCCATTCTAGGCACATCCGATTTTCCTAGCACAACCAAACCCTTCCCTTGGCTTAAATTATGATAAGAGGAATTTGGTGGTCCCAGCTATTACCATTTAGAAGGAGTTCATGAACAAACAGACAGACACACAAACAAACACTTTCAAATATATGGTAGATTTAAGTGTTATATACTCAGCTCTACACAAAATGCAAAGTGAAGGCAAACCTGGCCCTGACTAGCTAAGTCCCTGATCCTAAAGACATGCACGTAAGTGTCTAACATTGTGAGTAGTCCCAATATAACAGTGGTTCTCAATCTTTTTTTTATTAAAGTACCCCCTTTAAAAAAAAATGTACCTGCCTAGTACCTACAGTTTTTGCTACCATTGAAACAAATTTGTTTAAACAACTTAATCGTAGCTGGGTGGGTGATGACATTTTTGGGTGTAAAAAGTACAAAAATAATAAAGCGCTGTAAAACGTGAACCAAAAATTCAGATTTCTACAAATGTCAGTTTTGTTGATGTACCACCTGGACTTCTCTCGAGTTCCCCTAAGGGTCCTCGTACCACTGGTTGAGAACCACTGCAATATACGCTAGGACTTCTCACAGAGCATATAGTTGAACAAGTGAATAAGTCTTTGCAGAACTGGGACCCAGGGCTAGTTTAGGAGTGAGGAATGCAGGCCATAAATGGGGGCTTGTATCCTGGGAAGCTGTTACTCTGGAAAAGCCTTGGGTTCATGGAAAAGAATCAGCTGAACATGAGTTCCCAATGTAAGACTGTGTGGCCCAAAGGGCTAATGTCACTGGGTAGATAAACAAGGGACGCTCCATGAGGAAGTAGGGAGGTTATACATATGGCACTGCTGCTGGAATACTGTACACAGGAAGCAAAACATGAGGACTGTACTGTAAGGATTTACTGCTTCTATAAGCTCCATGTCATCTTTGGAGACTGCAGATATGAGTGTTTGTTTTCCTAACTATTCATCAAGGGAGCCAACAGCCTCCGTGGGCCCCTGGGCAAGGTGTATATATGTGGGGGAGCAGCTGTGTGCTCCTGGAAGGGGCAGGATCGCTGGTCCATGGGGTGGGCCCTCAGTGCCGCCCGCTGTGCACTATACCAGCCCCTAGGTAGCCTTCAGTGCTACCAGGAACATGGCACACGCTCCAGCCCCTTGCACCACGGCAGCCTGGTGGTGATTTAAAGGGCCCGGGGCTACAGTGGTGAATTGACCTGTAGGCGCTGTGATATGGACCGTCTCGCCTGCTTGTTAGATACAGACCACACACTACTGGTGCTCAGTTGCTAATCATTCCGTTGGAGAAACAAAATACTCACTTCCTTTTTCTCTGGGGGTCCATTATAGTTTCCAGTCTCCTTCCTCAAAGTTGACAACTCTCCCCCAGGCCCATTCTTGGTTTAAACTTTACCAATAGGCCTGTGTTACAATGGGTACTGTCCCTGTGAAGCAGTGTGTGGTGCTATGTATGCCAGCTGCTCTGTAATAAATAAATGGTACAGAACGTCTCCACTTGCTACTAGAACGCTAGCAGTTCTCATTCGTGCTGCTTTGCTTAGAATTCAGCCGCATGCCATGTGTTTCGTGTCTGAGTGCTAGTGCGGGATTCACATACAGGCATCATGGCCTGGCTTCGCAAAGGCGTTGAGGTGCTTAAGTTGGGGTTTAGTTGCCTAAGTCCCAGTTTTGGCTCTGCTATGAGCCACAAAACTGCTGAAGAAGGCAGCCCCTGCTCCCTCCATTGCTATGACTGGGCCCATAGCCAGCTGTCCTCTCTTCTGGCACTACAACAGCTCCTAGTGGGCAAAAGGTGTAAGTGCAGCTTCCCTTGCCCTCCCCCTCGGAACCAATTATTCTGAAGGGAGAGAGAAAGGAGAAATCAGCGGAGAAAGCGAAGTTACTCACCTCCAGTGCAGTAACTGTCGTTCTTCGAGGTGGTGTCCCTGTGGGTGCTCCACTATGGGTCACTGGGCTTGCCCCGGCGCTGCAGACAGAAGCTTGTCATGAGCAGTGTTCGGCCGGACCACGCATGTGCCGTGGGCTCGCGGCTTTCGCGCTTTTTTCTGTCTCGTGGGGTCCGGCCCCCCCGCCAGTTCCTCGAGACCGCCTCAGAGTCTGTAAGAGACAAGAGCAGAGAGAGAGAGGACTCCGAAACGGGGAGGAGGGCGGATAGTGGAGCACCCGTGGGGACACCACCTCGAAGAACGACAGTTACTGCACCGGAGGTGAGTAACTTCACGTTCTCCTTCGGGGATGTCCTCTCGGGTGCTCCACTATGGGTGACTGCATAGCAGTAGTCGCCAAAACGGAAGGAGGGCAAGGAGTCCCTATTTATCTGCTGTGGAGAGTACTGCAGTTGCCACTGCCCCATCTGAGTGAGTGAGTAGAGAAATAGAATAGTGTTTGGCGAAGGTCTCATGTGAGGACCAAGTCGCCGTTCTGCCGATGTCCTTGAGAGATACCCCTCTATGAAACGCTGTAGATGTGGCCATGGCTCTAGTGGAGTGAGCGCGTGGTTGGGACGGAAGGAGTAAGCCTTTCGTTGCATACGATTGCACTATGCATGAGGTTACGAGATTGGAAATCCTCTGGGAAGATAGGCGTTGACCCTTTGACCTGTGTGCCAAGGAGATGAATAAGTGGTCCGTAAGCCTGAAAGGTTTAGTGCGATCTCTGTAGAATGCTAAGGCCCTGCGGATGTCCAAGGAGTGTAGGGCCACTTCTCGTGGTGAGGCATGGGGCTTCGGGAAAAAGGTTAGCAGGATGACTGGTTTGTTAACATGGAAATGGGAGACAATTTTGGGTATGAATCTCGGATGTAAGCTCAAGACTACTCCATCCTTATGGAAAACTGTATATGGTGGTGTGACCATCATGGCGGAAAGCTCGCTAACTCTGCGTGCCGATGTTATGGAGAGCAGGAAAATGGTTTTCAGAGTGAGGAAATGTAAGGATACAGTTGCCAGAGGCTCAAACGGCGGCCTCATTAGGGCGTCGAGTACTACATCCAGGCTCCACACAGGTGGAACTGGGTCGTGAGGTGGGTCCATGTTGATAAGGCCCTTGAGAAATCTTTTAGTCGTAGGAAGCCATGTTGAGAAGGCCCTTGAGAAATCTTTTAGCAGTAGGATGGGCGAAGATAGAAACGCCATCTATCGGTGATGTGAATGCTGATATTGCTGCAACGTGCACCATGATGGAGGCTAACGCAAGACCCTTGATCGTTAGATGCAGTGCATAGTCCAGTACAGAAGGAATCGACGGATGTATCGGATCGTGGTCTTTAGATGCAGTGCATAGTCCAGTACGGAAGGAATCGACGGACGTATCGGATCGTGGTGGTTCAAGGTACACCAGGAGAAGTATCTGCGCCACTTGTGAAGGTAAGTTTTTCTTGTGGTTTGTCGCCTACTGTGTACTACGATGTGTTGGACTGGAACAGAGCAGAGAGATTCGAATGGAGTCAGCCAGTTAGGAACCATGCTGTTAGGTTCAGCATTTGTATCTGGGGGTGTTTCAGGCGTCCTCGGTCTTGTGTGAGGAGATTGTGGAGATGTGGAAGGTGTATCGGTGTCCGCGCAGAGAGACGGTGCAGGAAGGGAAACCAGTGCTGGCTAGGCCACTCCAGGGCTATGAGGATTGGCGTAGCCCTGTCTGCCTTCAGCTTCTGAAGGACTTTGGGAATCAGAGGTATGGGGGGAATGCATAAAGGAGGGGTCCGCGCCAAGTCATAAGGAAGGCGTCTTCCAGGGATGCGTGGCCCAGGCCTGCCCTGGTGCAGTACTTGCGGCATTTTGTATTGGCGGGAGGTCCACTCGGGGAGTACCCCAACATTGGAAGATGTCACGTAAAACGCCGTCATGCATTTCCCATTCGTGTTTCACATGGAAATGTCTGCTCAGGAAATCTGCCATCACATTTGTGGTGCCAGGTAAGTAAGATGCCATAGGAGTTACCCCGTGGCGAATGCACCAGTTCCAAAAGCAGATGGCTTCTGTGCATAGGGAACGGGAGTGAGCGCCGCCCTGGCGATTTACATAATACATGGCTGTGATGTTGTCCGTAAGTATCCTCACCGTGGTGTTCCGAATGTAGATGAGGAAGGATTTGCATGCGTTGAAAATGGCATGTAGCTCTAACAGGTTTATGTGTAGCCTTGCTTCTTGTGGGGACCATTGGCCTTGGACTGAGAGGGAGCCCATGTGGGCCCCCCAGCCTAGTAGGGAGGCATCCGTTGTGATTTGGTGGAGTGGCTCCTGCTGATGGAAAGGTATACCTGACAGTAGGTTTGTGTGGCTGGTCCACCATAGGAGTGATTGGAGAACGCCAGGTGGCGGTGTTATCGGCCTGTGGAGATCGTATCTGGTGTGGTGGTATACAAGAGTCAGCCAGTAGTGAAGGGCACGCAGATGTAGTCTGGCGTATTTCACCACGTACGTTGTGGCGGCCATATGGCCCATGAGTCTGAGGCATGTGATGAGTGGAACGGTAGGGCTGACCAGTGATGGTGCAAATGAGGTCTTGGATGGCTTGAAACCTCTGTAAGGGTAGGAACGCTCTGCCGGCAAGTGAGTCCAGGAGGGCTCCAATGAACTCGATGTCCTGAGTGGGATGCAATACAGACTTCCGCTTGTTGAGGAGGAGGCCGA